AACCTTTCGCGACTTCGGGGCCGCGGCCTCCAGCGCGAGCTGCAGCGCGCCCTCCTTCGCGGCAGCGGCCTGCTCCGCCGCCGCCGCGGCCGAGCAGCCGCGGGGGGCGCGCGGGTACAGCGAGTTGCAGCATCGGCAACCACCAGAAGAGGTTACGACTAGACAAAGTGGAAGAAGAAGGGATGGGAGGGGGAACAGAGGAATGCACGCATCGCTGTGACTGCGCAAGTCATCTACAGCTGCCGTGTAAAATGGCGCACGGACGACGCCCGTTGCCGCCGGGGCCGGGCCCGCTGGCGGCGCGCAGACCTGCCCCTCGGAGACCCGCGCGCATAAGAAAGTAAACGCTTGAAAGTGAATCTGCACCGCGGCCAGCAATGCATTGTGCGCTTTCTTCCGGCTGGGAAGAAGCACCTGAAAATGCGGTATCGCCGAAACTTTCTGCAGCGCGCTCGCGTCGCTCACCCTAGATATACATGCCGAGGCATGCCTGAAATGCGCCCCAGAATCCCGCGGTGAAAAGCGCCCGAGGGGGGCGCGCTCAGCCTTGATCACCTGTGGGGAATACACAGAATACAAGAGCAAGCTCAAACAACGCTGTCGTAATTATTGCCTCTCGTTTCAATCGAATTGAAGAGCGCGACCACAATTGATCAAGTTTCTTTGACGTTTTCGCTGCTTCCCCTCACCTTCTGGGCACTTTGTTGTGGCTTTGCCATCGCGCGTGGCCAAATCCCCCAAGCGCATTGCGTCGCGCACGGTCTTGATGTCGCTTCCATCTGGTCTTGCAACTCGCGCGCAGGTCGAAATCTGCATCTGCGCCGCGCTGCCGCAATTCAATTCCAAGCCGCGTGCGCGCCCTTCTTCCACGCTCGTTTTAAGCGTGGCCTGAATATTCGCTCGATGTCGAGGTGCTAATAATGCGTCGCGCGCATGGAGAATGCCCTGGGGCACCGCATAGCCAGGTTCGGGGTCGAGGACCGCACCGTGCAACGTGATCGTCTCTACTGCGATGAATAAGTACGGTGACAGCGGGCATCCTCGTGAACTCCCGGCGTCCTGGGGCCTCTCCGTGGAGCTTCCGGCGTGGTCAAGGATAATGGAGAGACGCGCGGAGGATATGGAACGCATCACGTCGACGATGTCACTGGGTAATCCAAGTCGGCGTAAAGCTTTGCACATGGCCTCCGGTTCAAATCCGTCGAAAGCTTTCGCCCAATCCAACATAAAAAACCACAATCCCACCACTTTTGTTGACGTGCGCGGCATCAATCATGCGCCTCACAAGCATGAGGGCGTCCGCGGCGCCGCGCCCAGGCCGGAACCCATATTGCGAGTTACGCATGCGTTCTGATCCACCTTAAAGTAACCTTTGGCGCATGAGTGCAGCCAGAATTGTATATCCCGCCGAAAGCAAAGAAATTTGACGACAATTCTCTGGGAGGGTAGTTTTTCTTGAGTGATAAAACTACTTTCGGTCTGTTCCAACGAGGGAGGATTCTCCTTCCTAGTCCAGCGTTGTCGGCATACTCGCAATCAAACGCTGGTTGCGCCACTATCACACATCAAAGCTTCCCAAGCATCTGATGATCTTTAGTTCCGTAACACATTGTAACGCTCATAGATAGTGAGATCGTGTGTGCGGACAGGTAGAACATCACCAATTTGTTGAGTTTGACATTATGGCTGGAATTTTGGATGTCGCAATTGCCATTGCCTTGTTTCGAAATAGTCAGCCATGACATTTGCGCGTTCTGCAGTATCTGACCGTGTTCCATTTGGCTTTCTGATAGCAGCATGTTTGACACTTCTGGGTTTGCGCAAATAACGAATCACGTCCCATGCACCTCCACCAAGATATATTTCCAACCAAGTGTTCTGGTCTTGCTTGCCACATTTGCGGGTCATCGTGTTTACTGCTCGTTCTGATGTTGAATCACCCGTTTGACGATGCACCCTCCGTTTTTTTTTTTTTTTTTTTTTTTTTTTCAAGAAGATCAAGAGTACGCTGGCTTGTCCAAGTGCGTTTTGGCGGGGCTGTTTTGCCGGGTAGCGCGCACGCTGCTTGTTGGAAGGCTTGTTCAACATCATCTGCTGCTTCATCGGGTGTGGAGGTTTCGTATTCAGAGCGGGCGGCGGCACATGCGGGCAGATGATACCGTCCTCCCCAGTTCTGACGTGGCGGGTCGCCAGATTGAACGGACGAGATCTTAAAATTGATGATAAAACGAATGCCTCGTGCCAACATGTACTCTATTGAGATGGGCATATGCAGATATAAGCGCGAGAACACCACCATGCGTCTTCAAGCGCAGTGTCGCAAGACGATCGCCGTTCGCAACGCTGACCGCATTCGCGGAAAAACAATGAAAGCTACACCTGCCCATGATCTTGTTTCCTTGTTGACTTCCCCTGGCAGGAACACAAAACAACCATCGTGGGTGAAATATTCGGCTCCATTGAAAGGTTTTTCCGGAATGCTGAAAACGTCCAAATTGCGCTCGCACATCAGATTGTACAAAATTCAACGTAATTCACAAAATAATCATCTCGGAGACCCTGAACGCTCCATGTGCCCAGGCGCTGCAAACTGTGAGGCTGGCAACCCCGCCTCGGCCGGCCCCAAGAAAATGTCGCAAGAGAAGCCGAATACGTAGAAGACGAAGAACAAGAAGAGGAATGAATCTTTGATTCATGCTGAGACCGGCCGCGTAGAGGACGTAGGGGTACCGGGTGTCGTGCAGAAGGATGTTGCAGGGAGGGTGAAACGACCACTGGTCGCTGAACGACGGTAGCTTTGCCCAAATTCGCCGCGACTGTAGCGGCAACTTTGCCCGCGGTGGCGGCAGAGAGGTGCTCAAGTGACTCTCTGGCACGGCAGAATGGCAATCTTTCAGGCCAGGCTGCGGGGGCCCGGGTCCGGCCGTGTTTCCTTTTGGCCTTTAGATGTGCCTTTGGCCGTGCCTTTCATTGAAGGGGCCCTGGGACACACAAATAAATACACACAAATAAAACGATTCCCCATAGCCTTTGGCCGTGCCTTTCATACCCTGGGTGCAGTCGGGGCGTGGACCTAAGGAACCCTAAACAGGGAACGAGGCCCCTCTTTTCCACAAGTGGAACTTCGACTTCCCGTCGAGGGCACGGGGGAAACCTGGGGCAAGCCGTGAAACACTTATAAGGAACACCGAGCCCCTACCCAACGAAAAGGGCTCCCTCCTCCGCGCCCCGACGGTCACCCGGCGACGGCCTGCTGCATGGGAAAAACCTCCTTCGCGCACGTCCTCCCGCGGCGCAGGCGATACAGGCTCGAACACCAGCACCGTCCGTGGCGAGCCGAGCGGCTTTCTCTCAACGGGCGAAGAACGATATAAAATAAACTTTTTCGCTGTCGGGGGCGCCTGCCCCAGGGCGGCTGGAAAGTTTATACCCCTACAGTGCCACCGTAAGGGTATAAACTTTCCAGCCGCCCTGAGGCAGGTGTCCCCGACGGCGAAAAAAATAGTTCATACCGTTCTTCGCCCGTTAATTCTCGTCTGCCTGCGCCTTGCGACCGCGGTCGGCCTGCCCGCGCCGTTTGCGGCCCCGCCGTCGCCTCCGCCCCAGACGCCTGAAGGCTGCCGATGGCTTCGGGGATCTGCTGACCCAGATCGATCGAGACCCGGGCCAGTCGGCCTTATGCAAGATCCAGCAACATTCTGCAGGATCCTGCGCGCAGACCCGTGTGAGTGCACCCCTGGCCCTGTAGGATCCTGGCTGACCCCCGTTGGAACGGACCCCCGTCTCAAGGCCCTCGACGGGTCAAGGGTGCTGCCGCACCGGGACAAGGATTGAGGGCGCGGCGCCGCTGCCTGGCACACCCAGCCTTGCTCCTCCAGCGTGGAGGCCGTGCGCGGCGCAAGACCATCCCATCACGACACAATGAACATCAGGGGATACAATATGAAAGGTATCGCATCGAGTCCTGCCAATGGCGTAGCTGCAGCACGGGAACTGTTTGGGCCGGGAACTCCCCACGCCACGGTCCCAAGCCCCTTGAGGAATGCCTCCAGACTTGAGCCAAAGTGGCTGCGAACTTCCCCTCCCCCTCCTCCTGCCGCTCCTTCTCCCCTTCCTCCTCCCACACATACCATCCCCTGGCCGTGTCCTGGGGCGCAGCCTTAACAAAAAGTTCAAGCGGACCCAGCTGTGGCGACAAGGGTGCCCAACTGTTCAAGAACAACTACCGCTATACTGTAGATTCGCCTCTCCTCCGACCGTATGGGGAGGGTGCGAAGTCCCTGTGTGCGGGACGGAGTGGGCAGGGAGAGACACCCAAGGTCTCCCAACCTTCGAGGCCCTGGCACCATACGCGCGCCCGACACTTTCGGGGGAGGCATCATACGCCTCCCCGGCAACTCTGCGCCAGACGCAACAAAACAAAATCGGGGCCACACCATCATGGATGAAGGATGCATGGGTCTAGTGCGCGGTCGCCAGATCCATGGATCGGGGAAGGCGCTCCCGAGAAATTGCGCCCGTGCTGCCCGATTTGGCGGCTGCGCCCGCCGATTCTGCATGAAAACGGGGCCCGTCGCCAATACAAGCGACTCAATCCATGTTTGCGAGTCCTTGAAATAATTGGATGCGTTCCTTGAGTTCGGGGTCTCCTCCTCCTCCACCGGCCCAGACGTCTCCGCGGAGGGCTCCCGAGGCCGCTGGGGCGCCACCAGACAGAAGCCCCCTGGTTGCCCTCTGAAGCCCTGGTCCCTCCGGAAACGGAACGACGGAGCTAAGCACGTGCAGGAGGCCATCCTCGATCCTCGTTTCGGCGTCGCCTCAACCCCTCTCAACGATCAAGATCAAAGGAAGGTAAGGAGAAAAGAAAGGCAGGCTCAGCAGAAGGAAGGCCGCGCCTGCGCGTGCTTGACCCACCCACCACTCCGCCCCCCCCCGTAACCAGGGGCATCCTAGATCCTCGCCCACTCGCCTCATCCCTCATCTTCCCCCCCGCTGCCCACACATATGAGGCAGGTGCCGATGATCACCTTCGGCTGCAGCCTCTCCTGCAGGAACGCCACCGAGAAGGCCACGACCATGATGGTGTTCAGCTTCCCGAGGATCTGCATGGAGGCCCCGCCGATCTGCTTGATGACGAACATGCCGAGGAGGTTCAGGGCGCACGCGCTCACGCAGGTGGCCAGCACCAGAAGCGACGCTGGAGAGGCGAAGAAGGGAGGGCGCCCCGCCATACGCTTTTTGGCCGAAGGGCTGGGCAAGAGGGAGGGGGAAGGAGGGGGGGGAAGCGAGATACGGCAGGTTCGTGCGGCGATGACTTCCACGTTTGTTGCTGATACCGCGTGGATCGTTCACACTTGAACCATCGCGTCTTCCCGATTCCCGATAACGCAGATCGTTCGATATCGGCCGGTTCCGGGCCACTGGCGGCGTCAAACCAGGAACGCCCGTGCCGGTGTCGCCACCGCGGCAACGCGGCGCGAACCTACCGGAGGGGGAGGGGGTTGGGAGTCGATCAGGGGAACGTGCCTGGGTCGTGTGCCAGAAGCCGCGCGGACGTATCATTGGGTCTTTGGCAGTCTCTCAGAGCACGGATGGGGGCCTCTTGGGGGTCTCCTCTGGGAGCTTCCCCAGGGCGTCCTGGGGCCTCTTGGGGGCAGAGATCAGTGGGGGAGCGGGAGAAGCAGCGGAGAATGGGTAGAGTCAGGGAGCGTTACTGGTCGCCCGCAGCCGAAGGGAGGGTGGGCCGAAGGCGATGCCCTCTCTTGGCCGCGCCACGACGTGGGATCGAGAGCGCGGACCTCCTAGCTCTTCATGTGGTTGCCATTTTTTGTTCCCTGGGTCAGGAGGGCCTCGAGGGGTACTGGCAGCGCACCTCGCTTTCATCCTCCCTGGATGTCCCGACATGCAACGCTCTGGCGAACGCGAAGAAGTCCTCGGTTGCCACGGCGTAGATGACCGAGATCACGACGCACGGGAGGCCTTGCAGCGCCCAGACGTGCATGGGATCCACTGGCATGGCCGCCTGCAGCGGTTGCTTCTCGCTACCCTCGCGGGCGTACGCGGTGGGGTTCAGGAGGTTGTCCTGCAGCACCACCTGAGACAGGCTCGCCCCCTCCGAATACTTATCAGAGCATGTCGCCCTCAATGGAGGGATGTATGAACAATGCCTGTTCTCGGGACTGGTAATGTTCCACAAATCCTTCTTTGGTGCGACCATGCCTGGGGTGTACTCCTAGAAGCCTCCGTGTCGGAATAGATGGGGTTGGAGAATCGTGCCGCATCGTCGGTGTATCGGCGCCGTCGTGACGCAGAAACCGCATCAACAATGCATCGGCGATGCGGCTCGATCCTCCGACCCCGTCCACTCCGGCCCTCTTTGGTGAGGTCGCCGAATGTCGCGCACCGCCCTTGGAGCGACGCGCGGTTGATCTTGGTGCCCTCGCCCCGCCCCCCGGAGAAGGGCAGATCTCAAGCCCAGGCCGCGACGCGCGATGGGCGATGACTTTCGCGCCAAGCGAGATGGTGTAGCGATCTTACGTGGTGGCTTACGCGGGCTGCCCGCGCGGCACGCCACGTTTGAAGCGAGGGCGCTTACGCGCGACCTTACGCGGGCAACTTGCGCGCCAATGTCGGCGCAGACGACCCCGTTTTGTGGCGTCGCTCATTTGGGAGGCCAGGAAATTGGACGGGCCCCGCTGCCTTGATGGAGCGAAGCAGGACGGACGCCAGGGAAAAGAGCAGCCCAAAGGCCACCGCGCCGCCCGCATGCCCGTGGCCCAGCTTGCCCCAGGCAATCACGCCGGCTCCTACGCAGGCCATGCCGACGCCAACCCAAGCGAACTTCGCAACTTTCCTGCCCATGAGGTTAGCAAGAGCTGCGGTGGTCACCGGGGAGAGCGTTGCCACGATGGAGTTCAGACCAGCGCCGAGATAGATCAGCGCAGTGTTGTTGAAGACAACGGACAGCGGAAGGCTAAGAGCGATAGTGGGGAGCAGAAAAAACAAACGCCTACTCTCGAAGCCCTTTCCAAGCTCTTGCCCACCGCATGTCTTCGTCCTCTCCCCTCCCCTCCCACCCTTTCTGCAAGTAGGTGCTTTTCTGCTCAGCTCCCCCAGCTGGGCAGGATGAAAGTGGTGTAGCGCGATGCCGAGCCCATGGAGGAGGGAAGCGCCTTGTGGGACTCGCCCTTCACCAGCCAATACACCACACAGACCTGCGGAGGACGCCAACAACACCTGCACCCACCTCGGCCGGGCCGATCCCGGGTCCCGGATCGGTGTGGGTGTCTGGCAGCCCCGTGTGAACTCCACCCCTGCAGGTCTAATCTCTGGAGCGCCAGCTGGGGTTCATACAGTCGGGGCGTTGACCTAAGGAACCCTAGATAAGGAACGAGGCCCCGTTTTTCCATAAGTTAAACTTCGATTTCCGATCGGAAACATGAGGAAAACCTGAGGCAAGCTGTGAAACACTTAAGGAACGCGGAGCCCCTCCCCAACGAAAAGGGTTCCTTCTTCAGGGCCCCGACTGTAACCCGAACGATGTCTGCAACCGAGAAGACCCCCACGGGGGTGTCCGATAAGCCAGCGTCGAGCGGACCCGCAGGGGCGGGGTTCGCAATCGGCCGCAAGTGTAAAGCTGGCGCCCCGCGGGTACCAGCCAGACGGTCGCGAAGTGCAGGACAGTCACCTTAGCTGCCCCGCAACGCAACACGCAGAACGTAGCGTATTGTTACGGAGCTCAACACGTAGACTTAAAACGTGGGTATGACGCTACACGTTCGACAAAACGTCGGCCGACACGCTGAGCCAGCACGCAACGTATGGACACGGACGTTTTCAGCACAGTGAGAATGGCGTTTCAAAATATAGAGGGCTCCTAGATGGGGTCCGATTAGGTGAAGTCGGGGGATCGCGCCGCATCGCCAATGCATCGGCGATGCATCGGCGACGTCGGCGACGTATCGACGACGTCGGCGGGGAGAAAATCGGGCTCGGCATCGAGCCGCATCGCCGATGCATCGGGGATGCTGCGCGATCCTCCGACCCCATCTACTCCGACCCCGTCTGGGAGGCTGAGAAAACGGGCGTGTCGCGGCGGCTGAGACAGTCACCCATCCAGGGTAGTTGAAGCTGAACGGCGCACTCGACAGCTCCTTCATCAGCAGCTGCGTGGAGACGAGAGAGCAGATGAGGCCGACCGTGCAGAAGGTGGCGGTCGGCCCGTGCGGCCGGAGTACGATCGGCGGCGAGCGAGGGGGGGGCAATGAGAAGGAGAAGACCTTCTCGGAAGGCGGCGGGACTTCTCAAAAGCCTTCGGTGGCAACTCATGGGAGCCTCCCATACCATCTTGTCGGCTCTTGCGAATCGACGCTGGTTGACGCTAAATCGACGCTGATCGACGCTAATTCGGCGCTAATCGACGCTAACCGACGCTAAATCGGCGCTAGCTCATCGACTCCCGAACGCTACTCGACGCTAAGGACATAATTACGACCATACACAAGGCTCCCATGATTTCCTACCGAAGGAGAAGGCCTTCTCAGAAGGCGGCGGGACTTCTCCGAAGACCTCTTGTGTGCGTTTTCGGGAGAAGCTTAGGAAGCTTCTCAGAAGGCCGGGGGACACTTCCGAGCCTTCTGAGAAGGCCTGCCCCTTTTTACTTCCCCCCGGGCTCGCCGCCGATATAAAGCAGACCGCGCTGAACAGGGAGCCCACGATAACCACGGCGATCAACTTGCCAACGCCCTCGGTGAACTTGCTGGAGGCGGCAACCTGCAGCAGAGAGATCGATAGCACGTCTTCAACGGAGCTGGGCTCGAGCATGACGGCCGTGTGTGCCATTCGCCTGTCTGACCTCGGGGCGCTGTCCAGTGTCGTGGATTATGTATAGCTTGTCAAGGTGCCCCAAGGGCTTTAGCCAAATTGGCAACTGTGATATGTGCTGATGCAGATGAGAGGGGCCACCAGTGTGAGAATGGAATGGGAGAACACGGCCATGCGATAGAGAAGGAGGGAGGTTATGAGGAAGATGATGACAGATGATGGCGAGAATGAGGAAGCGGATGAGGCGAACGAAGATGAGGTATCATAATAAGACGGATACGTACGAACGGGGTGAGACAACATAATGCATCAATATATCGTGCACGTCATAGTGTTTCGTCTTCCGTGTCCGTCAAACCCAACACTTGTGGGTGCCTTGCGCACCGCACTATCTGCAACTGCTCTGCCTGGCAGCAGTGATCGTGTACCTTAGACAGGTGTTCGACGTCACGCTGCGTTGGCTCCTTGAATAACAAGTTCTTGCGAGGGAGTAAAAGGTATGTTATCAACAGCGTGCAGACTATCACAAAATGCTGCGACCAAACTGAAAAGCCGTAGTATCAACAACAATCCCACAAACCCTCTGGGCAAATGTGGTATAACGCTTCTTTCCCCTCCTCGTCCAAGCCTCCTTCCTCCACTATTCGGAGAGGGTTTCATCACTTCCCCGTGAATGTACACACCCTCCTCCACTCCAACAGCCCCTATTCAAGGCAAGCACCAACGTCCCCTCACCATCCCTGTCAACAAAGATTAAGCAATGCAAATTTGCATCACCAGCGGGATCATGTTCGGACGCCCCACGAACACGTTTGTCTTTTGACAGAGACCAAGGGGGTATCATATTGCCCCACGTGCGTAGGCCCATCATCCCTGTCAAAACCAATGCAAAGCGGCAAAGTCTTGGGCGCCCCGCGATTACGCGCAGTGATATTTGACAGGGATGGTGGGGTTGCACTGGCACGCCGGCGCACCTCGACGGTGCGGTGCACTTTGCTAGCGTACGCATTGGTTCCTGATGGTTGTCGATGCCGTCCCCTGTTGATGTGTTGGAAGGGCGGCACGGAGTGAGCGAGATGGCTTGCGGCTTGTGGGTGCCCGCCCCCATCAGGCAGCCTGTTTTGGCCCACGATGACTACACTATGGCCCCGGACGTCCCAAGAGGGCGCCCAAAACGGCTCAAGATAGCGGGAGATGGTCCAAGATAGCCAATTCTAAATTGAATTTGATAGAAATCCTAGACCCGACCGCGATGTCTGCTAGGCGAGAGTGCGATTCTTGAACAGACTCTGACGAAGTCCCAGGCAAGAGCGCGACTTGAGCAATTTGCACAGAGGTCTCGAGCAAGAGCGGCTTTCTTGTATAAACTATTAGAAAGACTTGGAATTTCGACGCGAATCCAGCGGTGGCGACGAGGCCTCCCAGGATGCCCAAAGGGGAAAACGAGGGAAGGGTAGCAGTATGGGTACTTCTTCCTCCTCTGACCACTACTGTTGTACACGGAGACCAGAGGCGCAGGGCGAGCACCAAAACCCCCTCTGACCAAAAGAACATTAGGTGCGAGAGTCGAGAGGTGCACCTCACACTACAAATAACAGGCATCTGGTAGGGGGTACCGACAGCATATTTCGAGAAGCAAAACAATGCAGAAGCATTAACTTTCAGAAATCTACGGGGGAAAGTTTCGAGGGTCAAAAATCAGCACAAACTGAAGAACAGCCTTTCGAGGCACTGCGTGAGCACAGGTCATGTAAAGAAGCAAACAATGACATAAGCACACATACTCGGAAGGCCGCTCGGATGTCTTGGATCGGCGCTGGACCCCCCCTCCCTCCCTGGCGCGTGGAGCGCACCAGAAGCGGCGCCAGAGGCGCCGCCAGGGGGGGCCAGCGCAGATCCAAAAGGTGCGCGCGGACCTCCGAAAGCTCATGTTTAGGCAGTGCTTGCTCCTTGGCTTATTCTGGGAAGGGGAGCTTGATCACAGTTACAGGGCGACAAGGTCGTCATGATCATATCGGCGCAGCAAGCGTTCTGGGACTTCCAGAGCATCTAGCGGCGCAGCCAGTGCGGAACATGAGGACATGTTGGAAATCCTGGGTCTTTCGAACCCTTTCCATACGGAAATCAATTATGTTTCCGACGCCCTTATTGACGGACTGGGGCACCAGTAATAATGAAAATGATTGTTTCTCCGAGAAGGAACGAGACGAGGAGAAGCAGGAGGAGGACGAGGACTAGTGTCAACCCGAGACTCACCAACGATGTTGGACAAGAGAAAAGAAAGGTGGAGGAGGAAGGGGGATGCAGGGGGAGGAGGAGGAGGAGAAGAAGGAGGAGGAGGAGGAGGAAGAAGAGGAGGAGCGGGCGGGGGAGGAGGGACAAGGTTTTCTCCCCGCCAAGAGAAACAGGGAGGGGAAGCTAAAGACAACCTGATGGCAAGCACCTACCATCTGGAGGTTCGCGCAGACTTCTTGGGTCGGTCTCTTGGGTCGGCGCCCCCCCGAGTCTGTGGTGCCGGACGCACTGCGGGCGGCAGAGCGGCGTTGCGTATTGGGATGGGGGGGAGGGGGCAGGAGGGACGAGGGGGAGGGGGGGGAGGGAGAGTAGGGGAGGGATGGGGAAGGGGGAGGGAAATGGGGAAGAGGGAAAGGGGGGGGGGAGGAAGGGGGAGCGTTACATGATGGGGAGGGGGGAGGGAGGGGGGGACGATGGGCGGCAGAACGGGCTTTATGGTCCAGAGGGTTACAGCAACACCCTCGTTTTGAGCAGGGACCGACCGTCCCGCCATTGCTATAGGCACACCACGACGTGTGCTTAGAACCCCGACAAGTTTTGAGAGCAACGACAACGTTCTGAGAACAAGAACCGATGCATGAAACAAAACAGTCTCGGCCAGAACTGTTCGAACCATATTTCTTGCAGGCCACAAGATGTTCTCTCCAGTGGGCCTCTGGGCGAGCCGGACGCTTCGCCGCTGCTTGATCCTTGCCCCTCGAGAAGTACAGTCGGGGCCCTGAAGAATGAACCCTTTTGGTTGGGGAGGGGCTCCGCGTTCCTTGACAGTTTCGCAGCTTGCCTTGGGTTTTCCCTAGGCTTTCGATGTGAAATCGAAGTCTAACTTATGGAGAATAGGGGCCTCGTTCCTTATTCAGGGTTCCTTAGGTCAACGCCCCGACTGTATGAACCCCAGCTGGCGCTCCAGAGATTAGACCTGCAGGGGTGGAGTTCACACGGGGCTGCCAGACACCCACACCGATCCGGGACCCGGGATCGGCCCGGCCGAGGTGGGTGCAGATGTTGTTGGCGTCCTCCGCAGGTCTGTGTGGTGTATTGGCTGGTGAAGGGCGAGTCCCACAAGGCGCTTCCCTCCTCCATGGGCTCGGCATCGCGCTACACCACTGTCAACGCCCCGACTGTATAGGCGAGCCAGACGCTTCGCCGCTGCTTGATCCCTGCCCCTCGAGAAGTATGCCTCTACCAGTTGGAGCTCCGCGCGGGCCTCTTCATGGGGTCGGCGACTGGCTCCCGCGGCGTGCCCCCCCCCCCCCTCGGGGTCTCTCGGCGCCTTCCCCCGGGGGTGGGGGGGGGGCTGGCCTCTCCCTCCTCCTCCTCCTCCTCCTACTCCTCCTCCTCCTCCTCCTCCTCCTCCTCCTCTCCTCCTCCTCCTCTGCCTCCTCCTCCTCCTCCCCATTCCTCCCTCCTCCTCTCCTCCTCCTCCTCCTCCTCTCCTCCTCCTCCTCCTCCTCCTCCTCCTCCCCATTCCTCCTCCCCCCTCCCCATTCCTCCTCCCTCCTCCCCATCCTCCTCCTCCTCCTCCTCTCTTCCTCCTCTCCTCCTCCTCCCTCCTGCTCCTCCTCCTTCTCCTCCTCCTCCTCCTCCTCTTCCTCCTCCTCCTCCTCCCTCCTGCTCCTCCTCCTTCTCCTCTCCCGAGACCCCTCGCCGACAGCCCCAGGCCGGCCCCCGCTACGACGAAGCCAGGACGAGGATAACATGGGGTGGGGATGAATCGAGAATCTCTGCTCGATGCCCAGGGGGCTGGCTTCTCATCCCGAGGCGCCTCGCTGACGGCTCCTTTGCAATCCAAATGTTTTCGGTGTTTGAGAATGGTGTTCCCGATGCAGCGTGGGCCTCATTTTCGGAGCGGCGCGTGGCTCCCGTCGCTCAGCATGGCGCTCTCGCTCCAGCGAGGGCCGCTTTCCTGGATCCGAGTCTTGGTCATTGTGATCCCCCCGTCGTTTCTCCTCCTCCTGCTCCGCCGTCCCCTGGTCCAGTTCCTCCCGCCCCTTCCACTCAAGTTCCTGCTGCTGTTCGTCTCGCCACAGCCAGTGCCACTATTCTGAAGACGAATGTTTCCTCATCGTTACCCTCCCCATTTCCCTCCTCCGCCTTCCCCTGGCCCTCCTTTCCCTCGCGATCCTTCCGTTGTAGTTCCTGCTGCTACTGCTGTTCGTCCTCATCCTTTCCTTCCGCTCATCCCCCCCTCGCCCCTCGCCCCTCGCCCCCCCCCCTTGCCCCCCCCCGTCCTCACGCCCCCTCCCCCGGAGCCACTGCGGCGGCGGCTCGTGCGGGGCGCCAGGCCGCGAGCCCGCCCACTCGAAGGGGGGCTGCCCGGGCGGCGGCGGCGGCCCTGGCGCACGCTGGCGCGCGCGCGCTGGTGTCCCCCCCCCATCACGGGCTGCCGATGCCTCCTCCTTCCTCCTCCTCCTGCTCATCCTCATGCTCCTCCTCCTGCTGCTCCTCCTCCTCCTCCTCCTCCACCTGTGTCCTCGTCCTCGTCCTAGTCCTCCTCCTCCTCCTCCTCCTCTTCCTCCTCCTCTTCCTCCTTCTCTTCCTCCTCCTTCTCCTTCTCCTCCTCCTCCTCCTCCTCCTCCTCCTCCTACTCCTCCTCCCTCTTTTCTGACGTTGGCCAGACATGAAGCTGAGCCTGTTTTCTATGGCAAACCAATCCCCAACTTAAGCGAAGCAGCGAACGAATTGACCCGCAGACGGGTGCGGAAACG